CTATGGCTGGCGGTAAAGTTTGAGAGCAGGAGACCCACAGAGAAGGAGACAGAAGCTTGTGGTTGAATAGCATTCCCAAAGTGTGGAACTAGGGAAACACTGAAGTGGAAAGAGGATTTAATTATGAAAATTGTTGCAGGCCAGTGGACAGATTCATTCCATACTCCTCTGGAGAAACCTCATTAATACTCTATGGCACCTGGCAGACACTGTTGATTTCTCCCCAACAGCCATTCCCAGTCTTCCTTCTTAACAAAGCCTCAATTTTGTTCCAGAGGCAACATGCCCAGCCTCAGGGGATAAATCAAGATTCGCCAAAGCCTAGTGGGGTAACCCCATTCCCTTTGCCAGTGACAGGCCTAATGGTGATCCCATAACCCAGTTCTGGCTGGTGGATATGAGGGGAAGTGTGCTAAGGATTGCTGGAAAAGTTTTCCCATATGATTTAAACAAAAGAGAAAGCATCTCTGGTTATGGTTACACAACATGATGAATGTAATTAACATCACTGAATTATAAACTTTAAAACGGTTAAAATGGGAAATTTTATGTTATATATATTTTACCACAATAATTTTTTTTAAAAAAAGGATTGAGTCTTTCAAGATGATTCTTTTTCCTACCCCCTTCCCTTCTACCTTGGCTACCCTTGTTTGAAGACATGTAGTTGGAGCTGCAGCAGCCATTTTACCACCATGAGGAAAGACCCAGAGAATGACAGACACTGATGCATACTAGTGATGGCCAAGTCATAGAACTAATCCAGGATCTGCTGACCTCCAGGCTTCTCTTCTTATGCAAGACAATACAATGACTGTACAGTTTAAACTACCACAATCAGCTATTCTGTAACTTGCCATCAGAAGCACACTTACTGACCAATACTTTCCCATAAATTATCTTATTTGCTCATTACTATACCTTACAAGGTAGTTATGATCCTTCATATAACAGAAGAGGGAGTTGAGGCTCAGAGAGGTTAAATGACATAGCTGGGTCTCAAACTCTCCTCTTCTGACAAGTAAACCCATGCTTCATCTAGCCTGCTCGACCTCCTAGTATAATGTCATTCATAGTTTGCTGATTCCCTTACTTCAGGAGCCATGTGTAAAGTCTTCAAAGCCAATGTGTAAAAGTTCAATTCAACAATTCCAAAATATGTTTGTGAAAGAATGCTGTGACAGTTGGCTCATTCCAAACATGTTGCTATTATTACAAAGCTTTCCCAAACTGTCGCAAAAAAAAAAAGAAGAAGAAGAAGAAGAGGAAAGACAGAAAGAGAGAGTGCCAGGAAGTAATTGGAAGGAAGTATTTTTTGGTTTGGGAGCCAGGAAATGTCAAGGAAACAAACGTAGCTATGATTTGCACTCCATCTCCAGTTGTGCCATGGGTTTCAAAAATAGGTTCTTTACTAAAGGCGCACAACAGAGTATCTGTGACAAGCGACAAGCTGCCTTAGGGGCTGAAAAAGCTACATTTGAGTCTGGGTTTTACTGTAACTTAACATATACGTTACATATATATATATATGATGGTAGGGAAGGAAAGTGCTTGGATTTTACCTTGAGTCCCTGGCCTTTTCTTGTTTTCAAACTGATTGGTCTGGACAATGGAAGTCCAATAGCCAACAGTAAATCCATTGTAAGCTGAAAACGGCCTCCTCTGAAAACAACTAAATATTTCTTTAATCCTTGCATTAAATTTTCTACTGTAGTATGAAAGTTACGCACTCTAAATTTAAGCTTCCCTAACTATAGACATTACTACTTTGTGGGGGGTGGGTGGGAGGGTAGCGGGGGTGGGGAGAGGTTTGATTACTTAGAAAACCTATTTAAGGCACTTTTTAAGGCAAAACATCAAATGCTTGTTCTGCATTTATATATCCGGAACATACTGAAGGTACTATTGTAATGACTCATGCTCAGAAAATCTTGTTTTTATATTCTGAAAACCATTTCTTCCATTTCGTACCATGGGAAGGGTCTTTAATAATCACAAGGGTCTTCAATAATCATAACATGAATGAATATTCCTTTTTTTGTAGCTTCAGTATCTACACTATCAGGGACATCAGCCAGTCCCAGAAAGAGTTATTTCACAGTTCCTTTCCCAAGGGAACAAAGCGAGAGCGGGTCCCAGATTAACAACGGCTTTTGTTGGCTTATATTTTCAAAAATTTCTCTGAAATTAAAGTTGTGTGTGGTTGGCAAGAATTTCTTTTCTTTAATCTGGACATGGTTTCTGCCTCTGATACTCTGAAAAGAAGCTTGTTGGTAAAAGGGCAAGCTGTGACCCTCTCGCATACACAACTACTTCAGCACTGGCTTAAAAACGTCTTCTCATTTTTCTGTAAACCTAAAGCTGCTCTAAAAAATAAATTCTATTTTTAAAAAAAAGGCTTTGCTGAAAACACATCTTTCAAATATAAATGTTCTTTCCATTTAACAGATTTTTAGCTCAATATTTATTTGTCCTCCATATCGAATGGTCTGAAAAAGTATCTACACATCTATTCAAAGCCCATTACTGGTTATGTGCTTCCCATAGTCTCCTTACTTGGCCAAGGACTCTCAGTGTCACCCGCCAAGCTGTGTGCATTTCCCATCCATTTATGAGAAGAACAGAGAGAACAGATAGTAGCAGGAACCAACTGCTGCTTGGGAGAGAGATAAGTGCCCACCGGGGACATCCGACAACCAGAAGCTCAACCCCAACTGCAGTTATACCATGCTATCTTTGACGCGGAGGGGAAAACTGGAGAGTTTAGACTCCAAGCTGAACATACTCCTCAAACACTGAGCTCTGGTCCGAGGGTAGTATGATGTGTCCTGTGCTAATGCCACCCTGCTGAATGGTACAAATTTTCAAGTGGACATCCCAGGATTCTAAATTCTTCCTTTGCCTTTCTAATCAAGAGCCAGAGAGAGAGAGAGAAACTAACTTTGTCCAGCAGCTCCTGTTGAAGCACTGTAGTTTGCCTAAGTAAAATTCAGTGCTACAGGAGGAAGTTTGATGAAACAATTGAAAGTCTCTCCTGGTTGCAGTTCAGGACTTGAGTTATCAACCATCTGCGCTAGCGGCTGCTTTCCCAGGACACTTCCTTATTAGAATTGACACAATTTGTAAGCTCCTTGTAAAAGGTTTTACCAGGATTTATTTACTCAGTCAGGGCTGTGGTTTATTATTACTAAGAATAAGAAGGGCCTCCTATTAGAAAAGAACAGCCACAGTCCTAGCACTGACAGGTAGAAACTTTACTGGCCCTCTATCAATCAATTCAACAGCCTAGTCTCTAGGGATTTGCCAAAAGATAATCGGTGGCAATTATGAAACCATCACCAGGAGTTGCCAGCAGGGCTTGGGAGAGATTTCTGAACTCTGTAGGCAATTACAAGGTAAAATAGAAAATCATTTTATGAAGCAGCAATTTTCTCTAGAAGCTAGAAGAGATGTAATACTGGCTTAAATTTAAAAACCAGTTGCTGTTGAGTCAACTCCGACTCATGGCTATCCCATGTGTGTCAGAGTAGAACTGTGCTCTATAGGGTTTTCAATGGCTAATTGTTCAGAAGTAGATTGCCAGGCCTTTCTTCTGAGGTGCCTCTGTTAGTAGCTGAGCATGTTAACTGTTTGCACCACCCAGAGACTACAGCTTAAATTGAAGTGACTAAGAAATAGTACCGGGCAAAGAGGTGTGGTACAGAACCTTCTTCTCCCATCCACCTTAAGATTCCAAATTAACTCAACAATGGCTACACAGCTCAACAAAGTTTAGGGAATTTGTGGTAAGAAGCCTGCTCTCGCCTCTCCTTTGCCATAAAACACTGTCTCTTTTCATATACAATTAAAGATGACCAAGAGGGCAATGGGCTTGAGATCTTGGGAAGCCGCCTTCTTCAGGAAGAGGATGATGGCACTGCAAGGGAGGCCAGCATAGCCAGGAGAAGCTGGGTCAGCGCAGCACCAGCCCCCAACTCACTGTGCTGGCCCAGTTCTATATGGAGGGAGGCAGCTGCACAAAAGGTGGAGGTTTTGATGAGTAGGATGGGTGAGGGCTCTGAGGGCCCAAGCACGGGATCTGCTTTGCAGACACAGCAGCAATCTTAACCCTTAGAGGTGTCACAGAGTCTCACATGACTCTTCCAACAAGCCTGTTGTGGAAATCACGATTCCCACACAGGATGCAGTGACGCAGGATTTGCTGTTCACACTGCTCAGGTCCACCTGAAATCAGAATCCAGGTCTTCGGTAGCTAAATGTTTTTCCTTCCCCTTACCGAACCAAGGCGACATGGGCATTCCCTCATGGATCACTGCACTGGTTGCGGCTCAGCCTCAGCACCAGGAACACCGCATCTCTATGATGGGCGGCTCCGAAACAAACGTTCATGGGGAAGGGAGAGGATGCGGGGAGTAGGCTGACCAGAGCCCCCTCAGGGCCCCGGCTTCGGGCCTGTCTGCGGTTTGCCTCCACTGGGGCTACTGGCCAGTTGGGCGCACACCTTTCCAGGTGGACCAGTGTTGGGAAAAGTAGCCGCTACTGGTGAGGAGGGTCACCAGACACTCCTGCAGGAGCCCCCTTATCCAGGCACAGAAGAGGAGACAGGCGCTTCCACAGGCGGGAAACCGCCTGGCCGAGCGCATACCCCTGAGGAGACGCGCCCCAGGTTTGCAATTCCAAGGTCCGTGGTCTTTCCACTCTCTCCTCCTCGTTCCCAAACGGCCCTTCTTGCTCGCTTTTCCTGCGGCCACCCACCCAGGAACAGGACCCTCCCAAAGGCAGCCCGGGGCCAACTAGCAGCGGGAGCTGGGAGACAGCAGGACCCCCTCGGGGACCGCCACCCCAGCCTCCGCCCCTCAAGGCAGGCTGCCGATGGACTTGCGCGCAGTGCTGGCGGGCGCCCCTTCCTTAAGGAGATGGATCCACTGGCCCTCGCTTCCAGTGCACTGACACACTTCCCCCAAGCGACCGGCCCGCGGCCCTGCACCAGGACGCCTCACCTCACGCAGCAGGCGCTCCAGGTGCTGCTCTGCCCAGGCAGCCAGGGTGTCAGGCGGACGCGCATGCCGCAGCAGCTCCCGCTCCTCCTCGAGCACGGCCACCCGGCCCTGCAGCGCGGCAGCCTGGGTGCCCAGCAGCAGGCAGGCCGCCGCTGAGCCCACGGAAAGCAGCAGGCACAGGGCGCTCACTGCTCGGGCTCCGGGCGCCAGCGCGGTACTTCCCCCACCGCAGCTGCCCGCCTGGCCGCTCTTCTGCGCCTCGCCGCTGCTCTCGTCTGAGTGCATGGCACGCTCTTGGAGGCGCGTGGGCTTTCCGAGATGGGTGGTGTGGAGCTGGGCCCGCAGGCTGAGCGCGCAGGAAGCGGGCGTAAGCGCCTGAGGCACAACGGCAGGCCGGCGCCGGTTCGGCCTCTGGGCAGCAGCTGAACACAACGCACACCCCCTTCACCGCCGCCAGCTCCTCCACAGCAGCCACTTTGGGCAGTTTCCTCTATGCAAATAGACCCTGCCAGAAAAGGAGCCGAGACCCACCCAGGGGAGGAGCGGCCCTGCTGGCCCCACAAGGCGAGGGGGCGTGGGCGGGGTGGGAGCTGGCTTCTCCAAGCCGCCCACCGGTGCCTGGGACCCCCTGCGTAGCGCACACCTCTACCCTCACCTGCCCTGAGCATGTGGCCTGCACCCACACTAGCGTGCGGACCTGAGCCTCCCAGCTGAATCCCTGCTGCAACCCCAAGAGGTTTGAAGTGCGCCCGGTGACTCCGCGGGCCTTCTGCAGCGCACCCCAGACTACAGCACAATTTGTGCCTTGGGAGCATTCTCCTGAACTTGTGAATTAACCTTTCTGACAATTTACAAAAACTTCAGAACTTCAACCCTGTGGAAAACTTGGCGGATCCGCCCTAGATGGGGGCTTAGCGCCGCTTGGTGGCCGAAAGTGACCTCTGCGCACTCACGTTTAGAGAGGCAGTCCTAGATGAGATTGCGCCAAGCAGAAGGGATGCCTCTTAGCATCTTAATTCTCTCACCATTTATGATGTGCCAGAAATGGTGCAGGAAACAGAAATGGTAAGATATTGTTCCTAACCTAGAAAGGGCTTTTATTTAAGAAAACCTAAACTATAACAAATGGAAAAGAGGGAAAAAGGAACTCCAACTTTGTTGACGGCTGAATTCTGCAATGGAAACACAACTTGGCAAAAAATGATTCAGTATGCATGACATGTAAGAGTCCTTGGGTGGCGCAAACAGCTAAGTGCTAGACTACTAGCCAAAAGGTTGGCATCTTGTAAGACAGGCCTTGGCGATCTGCTTCTGAAAGGTCACAGCCTTGAAAACCCTATGGAGCACAGTTCTACTCTGACACAGACGGGGTTGCCATGAGTCAGATTCCAATGGACGACAACTAACAGCAATGCACCACATTTGACCTATACTGCAATTCTGCTGCAAATTTAAAGCATTAAGACTGGAAAGTTCTCTGGTGCACAACTGGGGTCCAGAGAAGAGAATGAAGCTCCTTTGCCAGAGTGGCCCTAACAGTCTTGGCAGGAAAGGTGAGAAAGTCAGGCCGTGCTGTCCGCTTCCTTCCAAATTCCTACCGGGCATATTCATATCCTAAAATGGGTCACAAGTAACTCTCCCAGCAAACTCCTGTTATGTCCAAGGAAAAACATCTTCCCAGACTGCCCCATCTAAGGTGGCTGTACCCTCAGTCCCACTCAGAGGAATTACTCAGGGGTCAGGATATTTATCTAAAATTACCTTTTTATTAACTACAGTATTTTTGCAAATAACATACCCATGTCAATAATGTGCCCACACATATAATGCCTGCATAGCTCACTTATGAAAATAGCAAGGAGGGTTGCATGGGCTGGCAAAAAACATATAATACATGCATTATTTACATAAAAATACGGTATATCTCCTTTGTCTCATTCACCACTGTTTCCTCAAATAATAGAACAGCCTCTGGCTCATAGTTGGTGCTCAATACATATTTGTTAATTAAGGAAAGGTGAAAATATGTTTACTATCTACAGCTTATTTTAAAAAGCATGCAAGAAAATATATACTACTTGTGTCGGTTGGAGTCCAGGAAGGAGAGAGATGGCATCCTTACAAAACGTGACTGAAGACATCTGAATGTAAGGGCTCTTCACAAAGCAAGGAAATGAAGGAAAACCAACAAGGGCACTGAAGAAGCTGTCAACAGGGCTAGCAACAGTGGGAGCTGAAGGCGCAAGAGGAGGGAACTCTTATAGGAGTGCTGAAGAGCTTATTCAAAGAGGGCTCCTCAATAGGGGCGGTGGCCTTTGATAAAGGGACACAGCCTCTGCTCTCTCCTGCTGGGACCTCCCATTGATCAAACCTACAGGACAAGGGAGCCCAGCTGATGCAGTGCAAAGAGTCACCATCCTGAGGGCTGAGAGAAGAGTCAGAAGGATGGGGAATGGATCTAGAAGGTCAAAGAATGGGGCAAAAAAAGAGGGAATACCCACTACATTATGTAACATGTAGTACTTAAAAACCAGTTGCCATCTAGTCAATTCCAACTCATGATGACCCCATGTGTGTCAGAGTAGAACTGTGCTCCACAGGGTTTTCAATGGCTGATTTTTTTGAAAGCAGATCACCAGGCTTTTCTTCTGAGGTGCCTCTGGGTAGACTCAAACCACTAACCTTTCAGTTAGCAGCTAAGCGTGTTAACTGTTTGCACCACCCAGGAAGTCCATATAGCACTTACCAAGGTCAGTCTAGTTACTGCTGCCTCTGAATGTCTTATCTGCTAGCAACAGGTTAACTTTAGCCCCTGACATGGCATTATTCCTCAGGAAGACCAACTGGCCACCCGGTCTCTAATCCACTACATTGAACTTCCTCCATCCTGGAACAGCAGTTTGACCCTCATAGGGATAGATATCTATCTCAGGTACAGGTTTATCTTTCCTGTCTGCAGAGCCTCAGCCAGCACTATCTATCCTTACGGAATACCCCACCCACAGCCTAGCAGCCAACCAAGGCACCCAGTTTACAGCAAAGGAGGTGTGGGAGTGAGCCCATGACCATGGAATCTACTGGTTGTATTAAATACTGCACCAGCCAGCAGCAGCCAGCTTCACAGAACTCTGGAACTACCTTCTAAAGGGACAGATAAACACTCTGATGCAGGGTTGTCTTTCAGGGTGTGGTATATACATTAAATCAGGGGCCTCTATACGTATGATGTTATGTTCCCAGTAGGTCTCTGTGTAGCTCAAATGGTTTGTGCTCAATTACTAACTTAAAGGGTAGTGGTTTGAACCAACCCCGCAGCACTACAAAAGAAAGGTCTGGTAATCTGCTTCCATAAAGATTATAGCCAGGAAAACCCTATGGAGAAGTTCTACTCTGTAACACGAGGTTGCCATGAGTCAGAATTGACTCAACAGCAACGAGTTTGGTCTTTTTTACCTTCCCAGTAGGAAGAATACATGGGTCCAGGAACCAGGGATGGATGCAAGAGTGCCCCACTGCAGGATTTTGTGCTTGCAGACCCCACAGCTCTGGGCTCTGCAGGATTGGAGGTCCTAGTTCTCAAACAGGGTGTACTCTTTCCAGGGGACTTAGCAAGGGTCTCATTAAACTACAAGCTATAGCCACCACTCAAAGCACTTTGAACTCTGTGCCCAGGGACCAGTAGTCAAGAAGAAGAGTCACCACTTTGGCATGAATAACTGACCCTGATCAGCAGGAGGTAGGGCTGCTATTATACAGTGGGGGCTGGGAGGAATATGCCAGGTGCCTCGTGATACTCCTTTACGCTACTGTAACTGTGAAAAAAAGACATGAAGCAACACTAGCCAGATGATTGACAAGGGCTCAGACTCTTCAGAATAATAAAAAAACAAAAACAAAAAACCAGTAAAACAAAAACCAAACCAAACGCTGTAGAGGCAATTCCAACTCATGGCAACCCCGTGTGTGTCAGAGTAGAACTGTGATCCACAGGGTTTTCAATGGCTGATTTTTTGGAAGTAGACTGCCAGGCCTTTCTTTCAAGATGCCTCTGGGTGAACTAAGACAGAACCTCCAACCTTTGGTTAACAGCTGAGTGCATTAACCATTTGCATCAACTGAGCGACTCCTCGGAATAAAAGGGCATTATAAAAAATTTTATAAAACGGGAGATTATTTGGGTCAGATAGGATGGAGAACCATCGTTGTTGTTTGTTGCTGTTGAGTCGATTTTGACTCATAGCGACCCCAAGTGTGCAGAGCAGAACTGCTCCATAGGGTTTTTAAGGCTGTGACCTTTCAGAAGCAGATCACCAGGCCTGTCTCCCAAGTAGCTTCTGCTGGGTAGGTTCAGACCACCAAGCTTTCAGCTACATCGAGAACACTGTAGTAGAACATAATAATGCTGATAATGAAAGTGTTCAAAAACTGTTCAAGAAGGTAGGGGTACTTAATCCATTTTTTAAAAACTTTCAGCAAAAATGACTTAAATTAAGCTGTAAGACTTAAGGGAATAGGATTCAATTACATGGGGAAATTGTTACATAAAAAAGATAGTATAATGTGGTAGAAAATGTGCCAGGTCTTGACTCAAAATGCTTTGATTCTGGTCCTGGCTCTACTAATAGCTCACAGTATAACTTGAAGCAAGCTACTTACCTTCTCAGATCCTCAGTTTTCCAGCTTGTAAAATGGAGATACTGATAGGGGCTGGATTTACCCTCCTTCCTAAAACAACTAGAAAACCAGACAGAATATATGAAAAAAGTTTTCAAGGTATTAAAGATCAGAAAACAAAGACAGGGATTCCTGGGAGATAGGAAACAAATGAAGGGGGTCCAAGGATTACCCTAGCTTACTCTCTGGAGAGATTTTCTAGGCCATGGTGCAGGGAGGGGGGAACCCTGGCAGTTGTCCTGAGGTGAAGAGATGGATCTGGGAGACTGGGGAGGCCAGGGCAGCTGGAGTTAGCAAGTAGAGGATTGGAGAGAGGGAGAGCCGCAGAGAGAAAACCAGAGATCTGCAGATAGTTCCCTGGAGTCTCCACTTGAGTTCAGATCAGCATGTGTATGTGAGCAAACTACCTTAGACCAGGGAAAGAACCATCCAGGAGAATTAGATTCTAATTATTAGAAGAAATAATCCCCATACCTTACACAAGGCCAGGAATTGTTCTTATTCCTACCAGCTATTAGAAAACCTGGGGCATAGGGCAGAGTAAGGAACCCTGGTGGCACAGCAGTTAAGTGCTCAGCTGCTAACTGAAAGGTTGGTGGTTTGAGTCACTA